GGGGTCACAACAGCCGCGCCAGCAGCATGGCTGGTCTGCAGGCATGCAGCCAGCCTCCAGCTTGCCCGAGGACAGAGCCGTGACTGGCAGACACAGGGAGCCTGTTTCAGTAGTTAGACAAACTCCAGTGCAAAGATTTCAGAGAGAAGGAACCCAAGGGGTAGGAAGGTGTCGATGAAACAGTGGATGTGGGGAAACGTGCAATAAGCAGCCTCCCGAGCCTTCACCATGCCAGTGGGACTAGTTCCCCTCCACACAGGGCAAGCCAAGGGGTATATTTTATTTTCAAGAAACTCCATCCATGGGTACCTGTGCAGTGGTGTGAATTCCCTTCTCACCTTTCAAATTCAGAGTGTTTTAATATATAACTGTGTTTGTTTTACTGTGGACCAAACTCTAGGAGTTAGCAGAAGCTGAAAGCATCCCCCAACATCCGAGCTCAAAAATTGGGGTTAAGTCCTGCTCCCGGCATCAGCTGGCCTCCAGTTGTGAGCAGGGAGGAGGAGAGCAAGGCTCTCTCCAGGGAGAAAAAAAACAGCAAAAGCAGTAACAGTAACAACAGTCCTAACCTTTTGTTTTGTTTGACTGGTGTAGGTTCCCACGTACCTCTGTGTTCTTGTGTCATTTGCATTTCATTGCTTTACTTTAAGATGTTTTATGTTCTGTTTAAAAAGAAGAATAACTCATTGTGAAAAATTGGATAACTGTGATTGATTGTGAATAAAGTTGATTTAGGTATCCTGCAGCAGCATGAGCAGCTAAGTATTTACCATTTCCACAAGCGTGGTGAAAGACAATGAGCAGTGCAGTGGCGAGAGGCTAAGGTAAGAGCAGCAGTGGTATGAAAGCCTCTTCCTTGGAGGGGAGGTGGGTGGAGAGAGCTCAGGCTTTCCTTCAGTGCTTGAGGATGAGGGGTATTGACAGCTGGTCCCCTGACAGACCCCATACACACATAAGGAATAAAAGAAGCCACGGAAGTAAAAGCGAGGGCTAACCACGTTTCTGTGGCTTAAGCCCCATGCTCCTGAGCCTCTTTACGCCCTCCCCAGAGAGAAGCCACAGCTTCTTTCCTCTCATTGCCTTGTTTGCAGTCTCTCCTGAGTGCCTGTAACCACAAAAAAAGACCTCACCAGCACAAGAAGGAGAAAGCGTGCTGCGAAGAATCCCTGGACCATGCTGCTCAGCCTGGTAGGGGCAGGTAAGGGGCTGAAGATTAGGCAGAGTGGTAGCAATATAGCCAGGTGTCCCCACCACAGCTCTGCGGAGACATGACAGCCCAACACAGACAGGAGGATCCCAGCCCTGAACGGAGCAACATGTTGAGAAGGCCCACTGACAAGCTGTGGTCTGGCCAAGGGATATGCAGAGGCAAGACACAGACGCTGATGCTTCCTCAGCATACAACAAGGGACACAGGGACCCAAAGGGGATTTGGATTCTCCAGAGCGATGCCAGTTCCCCCAAAACCCAATAGCTCCTCTGCTGCAGGGATCTGCTCAGGAGCACACCTACAACACAGCCATGTGAGATTTCCTCCTCATCCTTTTGTTTAACTATTCAGCAGATGAGAAACTGGCTGGCTCACTCTCTCTTGTCACAGGACATATTTGAGTTGGCATCTTCTCCTTCAGTGTGGGTGCTCCATCTGCTAAGGGAGAGGGACATCCCAGGAGAGGTGTCCTCAGCCTCTCCAGCTGAAGCTATTCCACTCTAACAGCTCCCCAGTGGCCTAAAACTTTCCAGGCTGGGTAAAGCAAAACCACTTCTGCAACCCAGCTTTCTCCAACACCACCCTGAGGAGCTCTTAGCTGTTGGGACAAGGCAAGTCTGCACACACCTGTGCTGCACTCCCAGAGCTGTGCCCAGTTCCTGCTTTCCCAGGGACAGGAGGACCTCTCATGGATCTGGAAAGCCCTCTCTGGCCACAGCCCAGCCATGGGAAGCCTCTTCATCCCATCAGGAGCAAGGGATAGAGCTGCACAACACAGACTGCCCCTAAAAACTGGCGACGCTGACCTGCCAGACGGCCCCTGCCAGATGTGCTGAGCCCAAGCACTGTCACATATTAGGACAAGTGAAGTGCTAACACTCTGGGACAAGCTCAGACCCTCCTCTCCCCTGGCATCAGCAAGAGGGACCAGGGCAGGTACCTCTATGCTTCCCCTCTGACAGCCCCAGCCTGTTCGTTCCCTCCTGCAGCTGCCATGTGCAATAGCCCCAGTGAGCTTTGCATCCCTGTCTGCTGAGCATCGCTGAAGTCACCCTGCCCCGACCCCCCTCCCCAGGCCATCACCATCAGCTCACCAAATCCACACCAGATCTGCAATATCGCCATCGCTCCCAAGCTATTCTCCATCGACACCAAGCATGGCGCAGCGCAGGCCTTCCCCAGCGACAAGGCATCCCACCACCGCAGCCCTCCCGCTGCTTCAGGCAGGGCCATCCCCAGGGTTTCCCCGGCCGGCGGCCAGCTGCGGCACAGCCCACGGGGCCCGAGCCCACGGACCGCGCCGGGGGGGGGGAGGGGGAGAGGAGGAGTTGGAGGAAGGAGG